AAAGGGAATCAATTATTCCCTTTTTCGTCCAGGCTCTTTTTATATTTGTTTGTGAAAGAGGCCCATATATAGGAGTAACTCCCTGGGCTTCCCAAATGGAAGTTTACCATTGCACACAGCGCAGATGCACGAGGCTACAAAAAATAAGTGACTTTGTTTTTTTTTTTTTTTTTTTGAAATATGTATTCATGTACATATAACACAACACGTCGATAAAAAATGGATAATTGTTAATGCTACTAAATGGTGAATCAAAAAGTTTTACCCTCTTGGGGGTATTTAATTTAGAAAAATGGGAAACAAGCCACGAGGAGAGGGCACGAGGTAGACTACTTCAATGTGGGCAGCGAAAATGGAACTAATAAACAGACATTGCGAAAATTTTTGCCATCTCATGAGACAAATGATATTCATCCAAATGGGAAAAAAAAAACAATTAAGGAATGTACTTTATGGAAACACATACGTCAATATGGTGGACTCAAATGGGGGAAAAGAATAAAAATTTTAAAAAGTGGCACTAATTCAGCTTTGTATAGTCTAAAGGAATGTGTGCATTCTTAATATGCAACTTTGCAGACATTTCGGCAGTTTTTTTTTCTCTGATGTGTTGATTTAAGCAAAAGAAGGTGGGGAGGGATTCCATACCTCTCTCGGTTCATCTACCGCTTAATTGTTATTCAAATGGTTGTAGTCCCTTTTTACGTTTTTTCTGCTGCGGGAATACTTCAAAGCGGTTGCTGTGTCGGCACCTAACGTTTGTGACAAGTTTTCGCGCCAGAGCAGCAATAGAATGTACTTGATATAACATACTGTTTAAACGTGTATGGAGCAATTTCTGCTCTTCCGAAGGGAAGCCCCTATAAGGCATATTTTGATGGTGCTAAGTGGCTAGCTGCATTTGAGACCTATCACTGCTCCGTTAACCATGCACACCTGGCGTAAAAAGATACATAATACACATCGTGTGCTGTCTCTAAATTCTTGAAGGACACATAGCATCCTCCACTTAGACATTTCTGAACTCGAACTGCACCTTTTTGGGGGCATTCATCAAAAGAGTGGTGTGTTCATATTTGAAGGCTAGGGACATCTGGAGAATAAAGGGGAAGATTTCTTTGGGGATTTTATAATTAGAGTAGTACACGTAATTTTCATCAATTTTAAAATTTTCATTTGGGGAAACGTTTTGAAAAATTTCACGAAGAGAATAATTCTTAAACGTGTCGATGGTACAATTGGCGTGTGTTTGGACATTCGATATGGAGCTAATTTTCTCAATAGAAAGTTTACTTTTAATAGTGTTGGAAAATATATTGCTGTATTTTCTTTTAAACAATGTTTCGTATTTACTTTTTTCCTTTTTATTATGTTTCTTTTTAATAACTTTGTACTGCATTTGGCCTTTTTTTTTTAAAGGCGAGGAATCTGGTGTATCTGTTTCTTTGCTATCGGCTGCATTTGTTGTCTTACTCTGTGGCTGTTCATCGATGTCATTCCTGTCGTGCATGCGCCCATCATATATCACTTGGTAATTTCCAAAATCTTCTTTCTCTTCTTCATCTAGACTTAGTTCTTCAAAAACGACATGATCGTTTGGAGTAGAGTCGACAAAGTCACCGCTTGGATTAGATGCCTCCCCATGCACACCATCCTCCGATGTAGTTCCTTTTGGCGAATTTGTGTCCCCATCGTAGATGTCAAAATTGTAGACATCCATATTCTCATTGATAACGTTATTGTAAATATCATACACATTATTTTTGTGAATGAAACTGTGCTTTAAGTTTGAGTTCACTTGATTAAAAAAGTCATATAATTTTTTTTTGTTGTACGTTATAGAGAATATGTCCATATGGGGTATGTCCTTGTAATAAATATTTTCATTCAACATAACAGAGAGGATTAATTCGTAAAATTTGATTTCCTTTTCGTGGGAATAGATCCATTTCTTTTTAATTTTCTCCTTTATGTTTTTGGTCTTCGCGATCACTGTGCTGTTGCTTAGACGAACAAAAATGACATTTATGTTTACTTCTCTCTGGGCATTCCTTTCTTCAACGGGTTGGTTGTCAGCAGAGTTTGTTCGGAACAGCGTCTGAGGTGGTGCACTCCTTTCGTCTTCGCTCAGATTTGTGCTGGGATTTTCTGACAGGTCCTTCTTCTCCTCCTCCCCATCCGCGTCGTATTGGTACATATTTTTGTAATTTGTAATATGAAATGCGAAATCATTTAGAATATTTTTGAAGTCTCTCTCGTTGTTTAGCTTGTCCTGGTTTGATTTCTCTTCCTTGATAATTTGCTTCGTTTCTTTTATCATTTCTTCTTCCTTCTTTATTTGCTCGATGTTTTCATACTTTGAGTATCCATATAAGAAGAATTCTTCGTCTAGCTTTTTCTTTTCTTCCGCCATTATCTCCTGGAAGCTTTTTTTCTTGTTTTCCTCTGGCTGTGTTTGTGCTTCCTTCGACCCTTCCTTCGTTAGACTGCTCGCTTTGTCCCCACTGGGTGGTTGATTCTTGTCTGAATTTTCCTGCGTGGAATCTGTTTCTGCATCGTTTTTCTCGTTTTCCTCCTTGCTAAGTAAACTATCTATATCGGTTATTTCACCACTTTGCATATCCTTGATGTACATTTCTTTTATCTTTTCGATGTCCTCCTTGGTTATGATCTCTCCCTCATCCATGGACTTTTCAATGACTGGGTCTAGGTTCTCTGCGACGCCTTCCCCCTGCATGTCCTTCCCATGTACACTATTGTCAATGTTGTAAAAATGAACATTGTTGTAAGAATTGTGGAAAATGCGGTGGAGGGCATTGTATAGTGCCATACATTCATACTGCCAATTGCAGTAATATATGACAAAATAGTACTCGTTGGTTTTTTCATTTTTAATTTTTATATTTTTAAAAAAGTTATTTTTGTCTTCCTGTTCGAGTTTAAACATATTAGCCCAATCTTCCCTTTGAATTCTTTCTGGTGTATTAAAAAATTTGAATTTATCCCCAAATTTTTGTATAAAATAGGATACTAATGTTTGATTCCTTTCGGACAATTTGTTTGTCACATTGGAATAGGGGGGGAAAAGTTCATTCGTGTGTGTATCCCAATTTGATCTTCCCTGGGAGGACTCCTTCTGTAAGTGCTCCTTGTATACCTTATTTTTATACTGTTCATGCTTGAACAAATTTATTACAAAAAAGACATATGAAAGAATTTCGTCACTATATTTAAACGTTTCGTATGTGTATTTCTTTTCAACATTGATGGGGATGTTGTTGCTTACATATTTGAAATTTTTATTAATGAACAAGATATTTTCCTTCTTGATTTGTTCTCTTCTTTCTCTTTCTTCTTCTATTTTTTTTCTCATTTTCACTTCGTTTTCTACATTTTGTTCATAACTCAAGGGCGGAGAAGAGGTGTTTCTGCTTTTGTCACTATGGAGTAGGGTCGACGATCTGGGCTTGTACTTTTTATGGGCTACATTCTTTTGGAGGTGAAGGAATAAATTCGTTTTATTCGTTTCGTATATTTTGTCTACTTTGAAGCATGTGCAGAAAAAACTGAGTGCAAAGCATGAAGCGAATGGTAAAATTGTTTTCATGTTTTACGTCATCTTTTCGGTTCATCACGACGTGGAATGGGTGCGAGAATATTAACGCGGGTGTCGATATTTGGGTATGCGTCTGGCTTAGTATATGTTGTTGGCACGCGCACATGGGTAATGTGCAAGTTGCTACGGGGGGATACCTCGATCCTCTGGGACGCCTCTTCTCGTTTGTTCATTACGAAGCTTCATTGGATCTGTGGCAACAAGTTGTGCGTAATGTGCTTCTCTAATTTTGCCGTGTTCACACTTGATTAACCAATTTGAGATGAGCGAACACGTCAAGCATCATTCCATTTTATCTAATTTGGGTGCCTCATTGTTCGTTTTATCTAGTTTCGTCATCCCAGTGCTGTGATGCGGATGTGCGGATATGTTGATGTGCAGCTGCGCTGATGTGCTAATGTGCGAATGTGCAGATGTACGTGAATTTTTGCATACAGGGGTAAACGCCCCATATGTATGTTCATGTATATGCATACTAATGCTTCGTAAGCAGTAGCATTCGGAGGTGCTAGAACGTGGAGGTTTGTAAGTATGTAAACCTGACAGCTGCCCTTGACGGGATGAACTAAGAATATCGTTAAAAATAACTAATTTGTACCAAAAAAAAAGCGGCTTAAGCCATCTGCATTTTTCATGTAATACTCTGTTTTTCCTACTTAAAAAAAGGTATTCACATTATTTTTTAAAATGCGACGGGAATAAAAAAAAAAAAAGAAAGAAACAAACAAATAAATAAATGAACATATATTTAATTCTTAATTTTTACAAAAAAATTATCTGCGCAACATACAACATACCCTGACAATTCTGAAATGTAGCCAAATGGGCGTGAGCGCAGTTGATAGAAATGTAAAAAAGAAAAAAAAAAAAGGGAAAAAAAAACTGTTGTACTATAAAAAGAGTATAGATTTATGTGTACATGGATATACGCACATAGCGATTTATCTCATTACTTTTCGTTCGTATTCCAAAAAAATTGAGAGTTATTAAAATGATGAATGGACGTGTGAACAAAAGTGAATACACAAAATGGAAATATTTGAGTATCTGTGTTTTTTCTCTCCCTTTTTTTAATTATATAGGGGTGAAATATGGAGGGGAAAAAAAAAGAGGGCATTTAATGGATATCCAAGATTACTACCCCATTTATAACATAAGAATGGGTGTGCACATGTGTTAACAGAAAAAAAGGGAAAATTGGGTAGGCAGCGAACTATCAGCTCGATTGAACTTCTGTAAGGAAAAAAAAAAAAATAATAATATTATTTGATGTGAGAATCGGAAAAGATGTCATAGTTCGAGGAATACGATGACGCCCATATGGGGTGCAAAAAAAAAAAAAAAGGAATAGTACATAGGGGATACATTCCCCATGATTCAGAATTCATTTTTCCTGCGTCTGACCTTTGTTCTCATCTAGATAGAAGTTCTTCATGGCTTCTTCTGCGGCTTCCCGATCCTTCATTTTTATTTTTATAAAATCTAGGTATCTCAAAGATGGCAAATTGTATATTAAATACTCGCGATAGTTTTCCAACCTGTTAAGGAGAAACGGGGGGGTCCAAATGATACGGAGGTAGAAGGGGGCGTCGTTAAACTGGGGTGTTAACAGAACCCTACGATTGCATCATTGTCGATGTAGTTGGCCACACTTACTTGGATACGGCATTTTCTAATAGGCTAAGTCTCGTTAACTTTTTGGCTTTAAAGAGAGAGTTCAAATCGGTTAATTTTTCAAGCTGCAAAGGGAAAAATAAAGTATTTTTCGTTTTAAATTTTGTTAACACATGTGTTAAAAAAGGACGTTTCAAAATAGGTTTCGTTCATCATTATGAGCACATTCATTTTTAATCCTTAAATGTGTGCTCATCTATGAGGTGTGTTATAATACCTTATTATTTGTCAGAACTAGCGAATTCAAATTTGGAATGTTTTCAAAAATGTCACTGTCGATTCTGGCTATCTTATTGTTACACAATATTAACGTTTTTAATCTTTGCAGATAGGGGATGTTATTTAGCTTAAGAATTTCATTATCACTGAGGTCTATGCATTCAAAGTAGTCCTTCGTCACTCCTAAGTTTTCGATAACGGTTATTTTGTTTCCTGAGAGATGGGGGGGATCAAAAGAAAAAGGTGAAAGAAATTCAAAAGCGCGTAAGTACGTCTTAAAAGATGCACAAAAAGGTTGTCCCTTTTTTTTGACACACGTGGTTAGAAGGTGCACCGAGCTACGGTCTTAGTAAGCAATGCTGCTTTAGACGAGGACACACGTATATATATGAATGCACGTCTTCATGCATTTATGTATCATTTGACTACATATATTGAACAGTCCGATACTCCCCGAATGTATAACTCTGGGCGGAGTCGCTCAAGCTGTTTTATATATACACGTTTTCTCACACGTAGGCTGTACATTTTTTCACCAACATTGCTCTATTTTTTTTTTTTTTTTTACTTACCTCTTAAGACTATGGTATTTTCGTTGGATGGATTTTTCGTTTGATGAGCATCATTTATCATATCGACTGTTATCCTCATTTTGTGGGATCGTTCTGTGTACTTGTTTGTTGGACGTTCCGTAAAAGGGAAGTATAAATTATTTGGTTCAATGAAGGAAATTCGTGTTTTGCTTTAACGTATTTCTGAGCGATTTGCCTTACAGGATGTCAATGTAAATTAGAATATTATCTTTTTTCTTTTTCTTTGGAAAGAGCTTCTTGAGTGAAATCGCATATTGAACTTATTGTTTCTCATGCTGGATGAGGATGGTCCTGTTGATGGGCAGAAATATTTTTTTCATAAATATTACCGCTATTTATGAAGAGAAAAGGCGTATGCCCTTTTATTTATTAAAAAAAAAAAGAAACAACCTTTAAATCTTTAAAAATTTTTATTTTTTGGTACATATAAAAATTGTGAATTACTTCTTTTTCTTGGCATTAAAAACACCTTGATTAAAACGAGGGCTGTGGTTTGGGTTTTTTTTATTCTTTTATTTGAATGCCACATACAATGCATAAATCCATTACGGCCACGATATATTCTCGTGGTTAACGCAAAATAAATAATCGTCAAGAAATTTCGAATATTTTTGAAATTTTCAAAGTTAGCAAATTATCATTTTTTCCGTCACAAATTAAATGGGTCGTATGTAATATTTTGTTAGAAAGACATTTTCACTTAGCATCCCTTAGCTCTGACACCTTTGCCAAAGCGCAAGGTTATGAAAAGCATATTTATGACAACACATTGCTCTTGTGGAGACTATGTGCAGCATTTTAAGTGAGAAAAAGAAGAGGGGGGAGGAAATTGTGAAACGGTACAAATTGTTATCAATTACAGCCTCTGTTTAGTTTTACAGTCCTGAATTGTGTTATTTAATGCAGCGCTGATGTGTAGGCCCCCTTTTGAGACGCTAATTTTGGTAAAATTGGATAGGTTTTATGTATGCTTCAAGAGAAAAGACGGAAATAAAGCATTACTTGTCGTTAGGGGGGATATGTTTGCGTCCAAATGAGCTGCAACAATGTGTATGTTCGTATTGGTATGTTTTGAATCAATCGACAAAAAGAGGACATAGACATATTTCTGCCCATGTGAAGAAGCTACTGGTAAAGAATCAACACGTTATTCTAGCACTGATGTATGAGCTGTGAAAAATTTTCCTTTTATAAGTAAAATCAGAGCGATAGTGAAAATTTACATACACACATAAATGTAGATGATGAAAACAGCCATGAAAGAAAAAAAAAGTATAGAATGGGGAAACACCTTTCTCTTTTTAATTAATTACTTTTTCCATGGTGTGGGAAGGGGTGATATTAAAATGGACAGCAATGTTTTATATAGAAAATACGCATTCTTTGAGCAGCATCAAGTGTATGTCTTAACAAATCATTATTATCTGCCTGCAAATTTTTTTTTCATTATTACTGCCTCCTTTTTATCAAAGTAGGAATTAGGCCCATATCGCTGTTACATTTTAATTTTCCTCATATGTGAAAAGTTAGCATAGGATTATTCCCCGGCATTCATCTCGCGCGAATGTTTTTTTCTGTTATTTTTCGGTTAAGCCATATTTTCCGAAGGAAATTGCAATGTTCCATAAAATAAACAACAGAACTGCATAACACCGAGCGGTCATATATATTCTTATGTAAAAGTATCATATGAGAAGGAAACAAAAGAAGATGCCCACTTTAATTTATTTGAACGTTTCACTTTTTTGGTGTATCAAAAAAGCATCCTTTTTCGCTTTTTTTTTTCTTTTCCTTCAGCATATAATCATTCCAGTTAATCGGCACTCATAAGAGCATACCAACAGAATAATTTCAGTTAGTGCTCCAGTCGTATCGTTATTTAAATGAGGGCCGGTAGTTCAGTTGGATAGAATGCCCGACTACGGATCGGGAGGTCGTGGGTTCGACTCCTGCCCGGCCTAATTTTTTTTGTACATTGAGAATAAATATATAGAAAAAGTATAAGAAATTACGTAAAGGCACTTTTTATAACAATTTTGGCTTAATTTTATTGAGGAAATCTTTTATGAGAAAAATTATAACACAATGCTTATATAAATAATATGTGCTAATAACATACTGGATAGGAGTAAGTAAAAAATGGTGTGAAAACTGCCATTTACTTTTTCGAATCCTTTTTTTTTTCTCTCTGATTATCCGGAAGAAGTAAAATTCGGAAAAATTTAAATTGTGGTAAGAAGTCGCCTATGTAAAGAATAAAAAAAGAAATTTAAATATGTAAAGAACGACTTGCGCGTAGATTGACAAACACACAAGAGTTTATCTTCAGATTGACATAATTAACTGCAAAGGTTTAATTTTCGCAAAATAGTTGATTCTTTAATGATGTTTATATGCGCACTATTATAAAATTCCTGCAGTAGTGATTCGCATCAAAATTGTACAGAATTTTATGGGAAAATGGGTTGCGCTTTCAAACATTGCCGCGCGTATAAACTGATGCATTTAAAATGGAGTACTGCACAATTGAAGAAAAGTAATTTTCATACATTTTCTAAATTTATGTGAAACAGATGGATAATGAACACAATAAATATGTTTTTTTTTTAATTTATACAAAATGTGGGATAATTCCTTAGCTACAATCGTACGTTCCGCACGGAACAGGTGTGCACGTACATGGAAGAAGCAAGTACTCCCCCCCTTCCGTTGGGAGAATAACTTCTTAAGCAGATATTCAGATATTATCAAGCTATGCTGCGAAAATGAATTATCAAACATTGTGGGAGAGGATCATCTATACATCAGAACTTTGCCTTTTAAGAGAAAATTAAGAAAGAAAAAAAAAGAAAACAGTGTTCTAAAAAAGATGAGCCCAGAGGGATTCGAACCCCCAGCCTTCTGATCTGGAGTCAGACGCGCTACCGTTGCGCCATAGGCCCAATGTTAATCTTTATGCACTGCTTAAATCCTACTCTGCAGAAGTTGCCTCAAAAGCGAATAATAAGATGCGCCGAATCGAAGCTCTGCATAACATATATGCATGAGCGCGAGCTAACCCTACAAAGATACATATTAAACACATGTAATTCTTAAATATAAAGATATATGTAAAAATATATGTTTTGATGTCTCATTTTATGCGGACATTATTTCTTAGTTCGATTTGCAAGTACTTTTTTTTTTTTTTTTTTTTGTATATTGCCTGTTTTGATGTCAGAAATTTTTACCTTAAAAAAATTCAATTCTATTCAAACTCTAGATTAAAAAAAAAAAAGAAGTCAATTTGAAAGGGCACAGATATTACCTTTTTCATGGTTAAAAGTGTTCATACTGCAGAAAAGCGTTATGATGAACAATTTTGGAATTTAAAGATTATGTGTATATGTAAAAGAGGGATATTTATTGGCACAGTTCCATAAGTGAAATATTGCGAAATATATGTATAACAGTTTTATGGGCAAAAAATTTGCGAAAAAAATAAAGAAAAAAGGAAAATGGTACGTATTGACGTTGGTTTATATTCTCATTTGCGTGTCTCCGTTATGCGTACAATCTTTTACGAACAGCAGGAAATATGTATATAAGAGGCTCCTTTCTTATATTAAACGCATTTGAAAAATATTTCGGTTCCTATTCCTGCGCATTCGCTGTTTTTTTAAGCTTCATTGTATATGGGAGAGCTTCAGAAGACGTAGGTTTCATTTCTATCAGGAGGAACGAAGTATTCCATAATAGAGTACGGAGGAAACAAAATATAAATTAGCACCAGTGGCGTAATTGGATAGCGCAATGCCTTCCTAAGGCAA